ATCTGTCTGGGCAAGATTCATCTGTTGAGGTGCACCTGAGCTATTTATCCAGATTCCAATACCTGTTGGAGACACTTCTCCAGAGTAATCAACTTTCCTATAATACTGGCACCTCCCATAATATGAGGCATTTAAACTTTGAAGTATTGCCTATTTTTCCACACAAAGGGATGCTAGATGAATCCCTGGGAAGACATCTGAAGATAATAAGATAAATCCCATCCTTAGTGTCTTGGTTTTCCTAAGTAAGCACCTAGTGATAATGTTACTTGCAGATTGTCTCCTGTAATGACTGTCACGAGACCCAAGTTGCTTTTCAGATCAAGATCTAGCTGAAATCACATCACTAAGAAGTCTCCCCAAGATGTTTTCTTCACCAAAAGGTCTTTTACCTTGTTTCTATTTTCCAGTGTGAAGTCTGGCTCTGACGTACTCATCGTGCCCCGTCAGTCAGTCCGTCGCACGTCAGTTCAGACTGTGGAAGAGACTGAACAGCTCACGGAGCTTTACAAGCTCCTGGCAGCCAAGGACTTTCAGACACAAATAGAGGGAGTGAATCTCCTCCTCGATTACTGCAGAAACAGGCCCCAGCTCGTCTCCACTAACATTGTCCAGGTATGTAGAGCATCTCTATTGCTCCTTTCCCGTTAACTCCTCCCCCAAGTCTGTACCAGGAAAGTTAACTCAGTGTGTCTTGACTCCACGTACTGGTTGTTTGGGAGAGGCTGGTCCCTTCTTACCCAAAATAATTTAATTCAACTCCAGGCTTCAGGGCAAATAGTTTCAGTGCAATGTATTTCTCTGGCAGGTGCCTATTGGTGCTGTGCATGAGATGGTGACAGAATTTACTGCTGCTGTAGCTTCTGCTGTGTCCAGCTACCAGTTAGGTTGAAATAAAGGAAATCCAGTTACTGAAAGCAGACAGTTATTCTGTAGAAGAAAAATGGTTTGGGATGGGGGAGAGAAGTATCAGGCTGGGTTCATATAAAAAAAAACCTTTTTTTTTTTTTTTTTTTTTAAGGATTCTTCTGTAAACTTTATCTTGTCTTGCTTAAACACAACTCTGCCTATTCATGTCTGTCCTCATCCCTTTCCTGCTTGGTAAAGACTGTTCTCACCGTTCCTGGGAGTCCTTTTTTCTCTTCTCAAAGAGGAGGAAAATGGCTAGAGACAGATCTTTATTCCTTCTCCTCCCAGCAGCTGCTTTTTTCCAGAAATGTGGCTTTCAAAGGACTGAACCTGCTCTAATAAGGACTGCACAGCACATTACACTTCAGAAGTCTATGTGTTAGCCAGACAAATGGTCTGGATCCAGAAGAGTTCATCAGAGCCCTGCACTCCTCCCGATGCAGGTTCTGAGACAGATAAAACAAAACCTGGGTCTCATCCAACACAGTTTTGACAAAATCAAAATGACTCTCAGTACTTGAGACAACTTTATGGAAGAATGGGCATTGTAAACACCCATTTTCCTACCTCTATACCAAAGATACTGTTTTGCATTATTAAAATTTACTGATTAATAGGTAAAGAGAAAGACCATATGAACTATCCTGTCCCTACGCAAACCCCTTAATATAAAATATGAAAATCTCTTCAACTAGCATGAGGTTGTGCAACCGCTGCAGTGAGTAGCCCACAGCAAAACAGTGAAATTTGCCAGCAAGTCCTGACCCAGCAGAAGGGATTACGTTCCTCTTTTATATTGCTGGGGACTTGTTTTTACATCTCTGCTTGAAGCAAGGACATTTTAATCCAGCTTTCATGTCATTTTTTTTTCTTAACAGATTTTTGATATTTTCATCCTAAGACTTCAGGATTGCAACAAGAAAGTGAACCACCAGGCACTGGAGGTCCTGGCTTCGATGATACCCATACTGGGAGGTGCCTTACACCCAGTGCTGGTCTCTCTGGTAGCAGCAGTCACAGAGAACCTGAACTCAAAGCATGTGGGGATTCACAGTGCAGCTATGAAAGTGCTGGAAGCCTCCACTGCTCACCTCGGTAAGGCTGACCTCTGGCATTGACTCTCTTTAACTGCGGTTCCTCCATCCTGAAGCCAAATGAACACTGAGTTTGTTGATAGATGATGTTGCCTGTGGAAATACACAGCTGCTGCAAGGTGTTTATGAAGTCCTACCTGCATTCTTTCTATCCCAAACTGTTGTATCGTGTTGGGATGTGCAGCTGAATGGATGCTGCTTATCACCTGGATCATATGTCTGATTATTATTTGGTAGAGAGGACATTATAGGGATTATTTTAAGTTTCTGTCAGAAGAGTGCAAGGGAAGTTGACTAGCATCTGTGACAATGGTTTTCCCCCTTCCTCCTGGGAAATTGCCTGCATTTTGTTTTTATGGAATTGCATTTCTAAGATGTGCATTCTGTTACGTTTACCTCCACTAAAACAAGATGAAAGGAATGTGCTTTTTCCCTAAAACACACCGTGGCAAGGGTGGTGGAGGCTCTTTGTTCTCACTGGCCTTCGTTCCATGCTCTGGCAGTGATGGATCTCCTGAGCAGTTGTGTCTGGCCCCTTCTGACCCCACTGTGACAAGCTTTGAACGCAATTACTTGTTTTGCAGTTTCAGATAGTAGGTTTCCCACATAAAGCCCACATGAAAATGTACTTTTGAATTCAAAGATTGAGACCTTGGATTTAATAAGATACTGCGTTATCATAGTGGAGATCAGATGAAGGATGAAAGATGAAATGCTTGTTTCATAGTCAGCCTGGAGGTCCTCACGTGTGGGGGGTTAGAAATGTCTTGGCTCCCCTCTTCCAGAAGGGTAAGGAGCCCATTATTGTCTCCTTTTCTGGATGCTTGAGCACAGGGACATAAGCTGTGTGTTTGCATAGGGTGCAAATCCACTACAGAAAAGCAGGTCCCCGTATAAAGACTTTGGGTTCTATGGTCAATGCCAGGTTTGCAGATCACTCGTGTCATTTATGTTATATATCAAAGGACCTGAATTCCTGCAGACTGTAGCTGTGAGCTGGTAACCAGAAGCTGTGGTAGAGCACTCCTTATGCACCACTTTCCAGACAGGCTTGAACACATACTAGCATTTACCCAAACTCCCAGGAGCATTTGGCTCCCTGCTGCTTGTCTGCTTTGGTACAGAAGGAGCTGAACAATAAATCCTGGAGTACAACTTTGCTAGAATTCAGGGACAAAGGGATTTTTGGAGGTTGTTTGGGCCCAATTTGACTTCCCCCAAATGAACTGCTTTGCTGTTAGCACGAAGGGACACTGGCCCATCAGGGCTTCTGCAGAACAGCTTCCTGGAAGGCTCTACATTATGGGCATTAGTTGGTCCTGTCTATTTTCCACCTTTTTTTTCTTTGTCTTCTTTTTCTAAAGGGAATTTATGATTTGCCAAGTTCATTTCTTTAGAACAAACAGGTATAAATCCAGCTGTAAATGATGGCTTGTTCCACATGTTGTTCTGCGTGGGGCAAGATTGCTATAGCCAATAACTACACAGCCAAGGTCTGCTGTAAATTCCCTTGCCACACGGATTTATGTCAGCTGTGAAAATGCAGCACTGGGTGAATATGCCTGAAAAATTTAGTGTTGAAGAGGCAGGTCTTAAAGGGAAATTATCAGCTGCCTTGTGGACTTGGGGAATTTGCTGACCCACTGCCTTTCTGTGTCCCAAGTACAGGGTTGTTACTGGTTGCAAAGTCAGGAGATGGGTGTGAGACCCGTACTGCTCTTGGCCTTTTTGGCCTTTACCCATTTTTTGTGGTGCCTGGGAGAAGGTTGGGGGAAAGTTGCAGAATCCTGCTAAGAGAGGATGTGGCAAACAGCTCCCTTCAGGGTTTTGCGTGGAGCTTTCTGTCCTTCCCCTCTCACCAGTTCTGAGAGATCACTGTAAATTTTTCCACGCTGGCAGATGTCGGAACAGGAGCAAGGCACATCTATCTCTCATCACACTGACTTTACCCAGAGACAGGTTCAAGCAAACAAGGCAGGATATATTTCTTTTGGTTCTGCTCATTTTTATGGACATTTGCAAAAATTCAAACAGGCAACTGAATCACAAATATTTCAAAATTCAGGACCTGGGGCTTTAGTTGGGGGAAGGAAGGCTCTAGTGGAAAAACGCATGAGTGAAAGCTTTCCACATACTTTTAAACTGTCTGCCTTGACAATTTAAAATCAAGTGGCTAATGACAAAAAAAGCCCCAGAACTCTAAAGAATTGTGCAATGCTCCTAGCTTAAGGAGTGAGTTGAGCTAGCTTAAGGGTGAGTGCAACGTTGCTCCATCGCACCACTGAGTTCCACAGCCAAGAGCCCAGCTATTGCTTTGAGAGTCTGTGTTGGCATGTCTCAGATTCTGAGTTTTAGATGAGACTTCTTCATCTGTCACCATTAATGATCCATACAAAAATGCGAGCTGGTTAGAAAATTACTTGATCAGTAATGTAAAACCAAACCAAAACAAAAGCCACCCATCCCTGAGACCAAATTCTACCTACAAACAAATTTGTTTTCAAATAATGCCTGAATTGTTTATTTAGCTTAACCCTGACATAGGCTTGGACGGTCCCAGCTGAAGGCCATGCACATTCATTAGCTGGGACCTGGGACCCTAATCCCACTCAAGGAGCCACCTCGTAGATGAGAGTGAATCAGCAAATCAGGTTTAGCTAAAATGTCATGCAGAGAATTAGAGCTGAGTTAATAAGAACTGAACTGCCTGCTGCCTTGTTTTCTCTAACAGCCATTAAAAGCCCCTCTGTCTTTAGGTCTCTCAAGGCAGCTAAAGTAATGGTTGGGTAAATTTGCTATTTGACTTGAGCTTTACTGTTTGAGAATGCAGAGGGCACTTGAAACCCTTAAATTGGAAGGTGAATAGTGCCTATAGATATAGCCTCCTAAAAACCAAGTGAAAAACCCAATTCTTCCTCACCTACCCAGAACCCAACTGTTCCCCTAAAAATCTGTGTAGATTCTGATATTAATGATCAATTACTGTTTTGTGCTCCTTCAAGATCTCCAGATCTCAGGGTGGTTTTTTCAAAGCAGCAGCCGTAAGGTAACACTCTGGGGAGGAACAGCAAATGTGAAAAGCGTCTGCCAATACTGCAAGAGTGAGGCAAGAAGTGTAGTGTCTGTTTAGAAAGGTGAATGAGAAGAGTGTAATTGCCAAAGCAGCAGCTTAATTAGGATCAATTCTTCACTGCAGGCTTGCAAGAAGATCATTAGGGACTTAATAGCACACTTAATAGCACAGTGCTACTTAAAACCACGCTGGGATTTGTCTCTGTAGTGGTTCACCAAGAAGTAGGTTGCCTGCTTTATTGGTGCCACTCCTGGTGAGGACGGCAGGTATCGTAGCGCGTCCATTGCACATTCTGCCTCCAAGAAGAGCTTTGCTTGGCTCATCAAAGTGGTAAGACTGGGGGTTTACAGACCAGGCAACAGTTTATGAATTAAAACAAGAGCCCAAATCAACAACAGGCACCACAGGAAAAACTAAAATACATATGATAGGCAAGTATTGGGGAAATCAGTTCATTTTCAAGTCTCTCCGCCAAGATCTGATGTCAGAGATGTTACAAGAGTCCCTGAGAGCAGATGGTGTTGAACAGTAATTCTGTCTTGTAAGAGTAATTTGGAGTATTGTCCATAGATCCCAACAGGTAATGTAAAGATCTAACACCAGCTTATCACAGAATCTTCTAGGTTTGAAGGGACCATAAAGATCATCTTGTCCAACCGTCAACCTAATTTTGACAAAAATAAACACCCACACAACAAACAAAAAGCAACACCATCACTAAACCATATCTCCCAGCACTACATCAACCTGTCTTTTGAACACCTCCAGGGATGGTGCCTCAACCACCTCCCTGGGCAGCCCATTCCAATGTCTGATAACCCTTTCGGTGAAAAAATTTTTCCTAATATCCAGCCTGAACCTCCCCTGGCTCAACTTGAGGCCATTTCCTCTAGTCCTGTTACCTGTGACTTGGGAGAAGAGACCAACCCCCACCTCTCTACACCCTCTTTTCAGGTAGTTGTAGAGCGCGATAAGGTCTCCCCTCAGCCTCCTCTTCTCCAGGCTGAATAACCCCAGCTCCCTCAGCCTCTCCTCATAAGACTTGTGCTCCAGACCCCTCACCATCTTTGTTGCCCTTCTCTGGACCCGCTCCAGCACCTTGATGTCTTTTTTTCTGGTAGGGAGCCCAAAACCAGACACAGTACTCAAGGTGAGGCCTCACCAGTGCCGAGTACAGGGAGACGATCACCTCTCGGGCCCTACTCACCACACTGTTCCTGATACAGGCCAGGACACCATTGGCCTTTTTGGCCACCTGGGCACACTGCTGGCTCCTGTTCAGCCGACAGTTGACCAACACCCCAGGTCCTTTTCTGCCAGGCAGCTCTCCAGCCATTCTTCCCCAAGCCCGTAGCGCTGCCTGGGGTTGTTGTGACCCAAGTGGAGTGTGAATGGATCTGTGGACTTTTGAGACTTCTCACCCTTTTCTTTAGGGGAGGGAGGAGGTCACTTCTGCAAAGCTCCAAGATGCAAAACCTCCTCACTTCTTATATGGGATTTAATTTTTGATGTCCTGATGTGAAATGTTTAACACAGCTCCTTATACAGCAATCAACTTTGGATTTACAAATGTGAAATGAGAGCTTTTCTTTTTGAATTTAAAATCCTCCCAAGTAAGCTGGAAGGAGAGAAGAAGAAAAGGATGCAGAAACTGGCAGAAATTTACTTTATTTTACAGAATTTTTATGTCAGTCTTCCCTTCCCCCCCCGTCTATTTTTTTTCATATAACATCAGAAGAATGAGCAGAAATGCATGTTTCTCTTTCAGATAACGCATTGCTGCTGCAAACCTTGGCCCAACGAGTGCGTTTCCTCAGCGGCCAAGCTCTGCTGATTGTCACAGAACATCTCTCAGGTATCGCCTGCTTCAGCTAATCTCCACTTCTAAGTCAGGGTGTCTTCAGAGGGAATATTTTGAGGGAAAATGCCTCTGAATAGCCAGTGCAGTAGCTCATCGAAGACCAGAAGGTCCTGAGCTTGTCCCTCCTGCAAAACACGTACGAGGTGTACTTGGCAGGGGTTTGCCTGGCTGCGGTGGAGGCATGAGATGAGGAGATGCTCAGGCTCCAGCATTGAGCTCTCACTGGGGCATCTCTGGACCCACCTCCAGGAGAAGAGTGGGGCTAAAAACACCCTGTCTGGCTCCTCACTTGGAAGAACAGTACAGTAAAGGTCGTGGAGGCCTATAAGAGGTCCCTTTTGAAAAGCAAACAACGATCTTCCAGAAAAAAAAATAATTGTGGCAACTGATATTTCTGAAGATCAGTTTCTTTTGTCATCAGTGAATGATCAGCAACTGTTGCCTGTTTCTGGGTCATCGGGCTCTTTCTGCTCGCTGATATTAGCCAGAAAAGGCTTCCAAGAACCACAAATCAAGGTAGCTAGTTGTTTGCATTCAGGTTGTTAAAAAGCTTGTCTCTCTTGCCCCCGGCAGTGCTTGTGACATCTGTTTACCCCCGGAAACCCCTGACTGTCAAGCGCCACATCCTGCCCACCCTCTGGTTCTTCCTGGAAAACAGGATCCTGCCTGTCCGAAGCAGCAACGTCAGGGCTGTGGTCTCCAAGCTTGCACACAGCCTCTACCAAGTGATGGGCTCCAGGCTGAAGGAGTACGCCGCCAGCCAGCCTCAGTCTGTGGCAAAAAACTTCTTAGACATTTTTGACCCGACCTGAAGGTGGGGTGAAGGCTTGGTGTGCTCCAGGAAGCTGCTGGAGGGGCAACAACTGGGTCAGGTGGAGGCAAAGGTGGATGTGGCAGTGGCATTGGTTTTATTCTGTGTGTTTGAAGGACGGTATTTGTGGAGGAATGGCTGTGTGAAAAAGGCCACGATTTAATTGCGATGAGCAACCCAGTCTTTGATGTAGATAAAGGCCTGGAGATGACCATGAACTCTCCTGGGAAAAGCAGAAATAAGAAGCAGCAGCTACTTGGTAGATAAGATAAACGGGACCGCATCCAGAAGATGAGAGAATGTTGCTGCGCGTGGACAAGGGGTCTACACCAATTGTGTGAGCGCTCCAGTCGCGTGAACAGAGATTGTAAGCCAATCGTAGAGCTACCGCTAGCGCGTGCTCTGCTTGCCTGTCTATATATATACACTTGGTAAAAACATGAATAAAGGGAGAACGATCATACTCATATTGAGGTTACATCGTTACTCCGGGTCCGTCTCCCACTCCCGACAGGTATTCGCCCTACAGAGCTTATAGATACAGATGTACGTAGTTTATTTTAATGTTGGCTTTTTAAAAAAAAAAAAAGAATAAAAGAAAGTATTTTTCAAAATTTTATATCTTGAGCTCATCTTCCCTAAGAAGCTTGCATAGATACCAAAAAAAACCCCTGTGTGTAAATGCAATTTGTAACTGTAAAAATGAAAATAACATATTTATATCCATATTTAAAAGTAAGAGATGTGCATCTATACATATCTATTTACTTACAAAATAAGAGATGGGCTTTTGGAAGCATTGGGGCTATAGGATTAGATGGATATTAGAGAATGAGAGACCAGGACCTGCTCGCCCAGAGCATATGACCTGCTAAGCCGCCTGGATGCACACAAGTCTATGGGACCAGATGGGCTGCACCCAAGAGTGCTGAAAGAGTTGGCAGACGTGCTCGCCAAACCGCTCTCCATCATTTATAGGAAGTCATGGCTGACTGGGGAGCTCCCAATGGACTGGAGGGTGGCAAATGTAACACCCATTTACAAGAAGGGCAAAAAGGAGGATCCAGGAAACTATAGACCTGTCAGTCTAACCTCGATACCAGGGAAGGTCATGGAGCAGGTCATTTTAAATGCCATCAAAAGCCACATAATTGGCAATCAAGGGATCAGGCCTAGCCAGCATGGATTTCTGGAAGGCAGGTCCTGCCAGACAAACCTGATCTGCTTCTACGACAAGATAACCAGATTATTGGACGAGGGAAAGGCTGTCGATATAGTATACGTGGACTTCCAAAAAGCATTTGATACGGTCCCTCACACAAATCTAGTGGAAAAACTGGCTTCACACGGAGTGGATGAGCACACGATCTGCTGGATCAAGCACTGGCTGACTGGAAGGTCCCAAAGAGTGGTGCTCAATGGATTTACGTCCAGCTGGCGGCCAGTCACAAGTGGTGTGCCTCAAGGCTCAGTGTTGGGACCATTTCTGTTTAACGTCTTTATTGATGATCTCGATAAGGACATAAGGTGTAACATCAGCAAGTTTGCAGATGACACCAAGTTAAGCAGGAGTGTTGACTCCCAGGAGGATAGGGAAGCCTTGCAAGAGGATCTAGATAGATTGGATCACTGGGACAATGCCAATGGAATGAGTTTCAACAAGGGCAAGTGCAAGGTCCTGCACTTGGGCCACAACAACCCCATGCAGCGCTACAGGCTGGGGGAAGTGTGGCTGGAGCTGCCTGGAGGAAAGAGACCTGGGGGTTCTAGTTGACAAACGGCTGAATATGAGCCGGCAGTGTGCCCAGGTGGCCAAGAAAGCCAACGGCATTCTGGCTTGTATCAAAAATAGTGTGACCAGCAGAAGTAGGGAGGTGATTGTGCCCCTGTACTCAGCAGTGGTGAGGCCACACCTGGAGTGTTGTGTCCAGTTTTGGGCACCTCAATCCAAGAGAGATCTCGAGGTGCTGGAGCGAGTGCAGAGGAGGGCAACGAAGCTGGTGAGGGGGCTGGAAAACAAATCGTATGAAGAGCGGCTGAGGGAGTTGGGACTGTTTAGTATGAGGAAGAGGAGGCTGAGGGGAGACCTCATCACTCTCTACAACTTCGTGAAAGGACACTGTAGAGAGGTTGGTGCTGGTCTCTTCTCACAGGTAATTAGTGACAGAACGAGAGGGAATGGCTTCAAGCTCCAACAGGGTAGGTTTTGATTGAACATTAGGAAAGAATTTTTCACCGAAAGAGTGATAGGGCATTGGAACAGGCTGCCCAGGGAGGTGGTGGAGTCACCATCCCTGGCTGTGTTTAAGGGCTGTTTAGATGCAGTGCTAAGGGACATGGTGTAGGGGAGGACTTTGTAGAGTAGGGTAGATGGTTGGACTCAATGATCCCAAGGGTCTCTTCCAACCTAGACGATTCTATGATTCTATCTGTAGAGTCAGATATTAAAGCAGCCTGATTTATGGTCACATTATCCTCCACGTATTGGCAGAATTTTGAAAGAAAGAAAAATTGAAGTTTTGGGGAGAAGAAAAAATAGGAAAAGAATGACATGTGACGTGTGGAAGGCTAAAAGAGCCTTGGCAGGTTCTTGACAGGTACGTGTCGAGCTTGTGTGACGCTGGGAGGCCAAAAAATACCGCAGGGAGATCTCCCCATCCTAAGGGTGCTGGGCTCTTAGGTTTATTTGCTGCATTTTTTGCTATGTCTAAAGCTATACAGGATTCCAGCTTGCCAGGTATTGTTGTTGTACTGTGTTACCTCTTAAGGAATCTCGTTTTTCTTTTTAGTACAGCACAAAAGTGGTGAAATTATCTAGTAGCCTCTTCTCAAATGTTTTTTGCTGCTGTTTTTTGGTTTTAACTCCCCACTTTTTTTTGGTAGCAGGGAGTGCTCAGGAACTCATCTCTGTGATGTCTTGGTGTGTGATGTCAGCCAGGGACCTGGCTCAGAAACACTGGTGTCTCTGGGGACCCGGCAGAGCCTGGTGGGTCTTGGCTCAGTTTTATGCAAATTTAGAAGGAAAAGAAAATTTGAGATAGAAAACTTGAGGTAATTGGATCCATTGGGCCCTGTGCTAGCTTTCTGCTGGCCTTTTTGCAGAACTGGCTTTTCATCCCCAAACGAGTGGGTGGTAGATCTTCAGCCCCAGTGCATCTCAACAGATGAATCTTGCCCAGACAGATTAAGGGGCATATCTGAAAGGATCCAGAGGATTAATAACAGAGGCAAAACCAGAGCCAGCCATCCCACTACTGTGCTTACGTTATTGCTCCCCTAGGGACTGGATCCACAGCTTAACAAATCCAGTGGGAAGAATTCTCTTGGATCAACCTCTCTCTGCCATGAGTGTGGGGAGATCCTAACCATGGTAGTGATGCATGTGGCCACCTTCCTGCTACTGCTGAGCGCACCAGAGCTAAATAAAGCCACTCCGTCATCAGAGAACAGCACTGGGTAAGCACCCCCTGAAAAGCTTTCCTGGAACTTGCTCTTTTTATTCCTCCAATTGGTTACTAAAATAGCTGGCAGGTCCAGATTTTGGAGTTCTGTGCTTGAATCTACCAGTGGTTATGTGTGACCTTAATCATGTCCCTTTATGCACCTGTTGGTGCATAAACATGTCATGGCACTAAGTGTTCATGAACGCTTGGTACCCGAAACCCTCCGTTACCCAGCCCTGTGCCGCCGTCTCCTTTCGCTCCCCATCTCCCCCCAGCCATACCCTCTATCCCCACTTTTTGTGGAGCATCCGGATCGCTCCCCTGCTTGTCCACAGACCAGAGCTGCCCTGATCTGCCGTTTGCTGGCCTTTAGCTGTCCCTTTGGGGAGGGACCCTTATCAGGGAGTGGAGTGATAGGACAAGGGGGAGTAGTTTTAAACTGAAAGAGGAAAGATGTAGATCTCAGGAAGAAATTCTTTCCTGTGAGGGTGGTGGGGCACTGGAATAGGTTGCCCAGAGAAGCTGTGGCTGCCCCATCCCTGGAGGGGTTCAAGGCCAGGCTGGATGGGGCTTGGAGCAACCTGGTCTGGTGGGAGGTGTCCCTGCCCAGGGCAGGGGGGTTGGAACTCCGTGATCTTCAAGGTCCCTTCCAACCTGAACCGTTCTGTGATTCTCAACTTTATTTCTGAGCGCTGGTCAGGCCCGGGTCCCGGGGGTTACGCTGCCAGCTCCGCTCCAGGCCTGTCCCCACGCCGCACGAAGGCGCCTTGCTGTTGTCACCTCGGGCGAGGCGGCACCTCCGGCCTGCGCTGAAGGGGGCTCTGCCTCGAAGTTCCCCCCCCCCGATGCCAGGGGCCTTCCTGGGCTTCTCCGTTTACCCTGCGCTGCAGCGCCCACAGCAGCAGCGCTGGTTTCATACCGACCTCAGCGCTGTACGTTCTGTAACCGCCCCGGACCAGGTTGCTCAAAGCCCCTCCCCGCCCGCCGTTCCGCGTGGGCGGTGCCGCCGCCGATTGGCCGCTGTCCGGGAGGGGCGGGGCGCTGGCTGCCGCCCTCGCGGTGCGCGGAAGGCGGGGCAGTGGGTGGTAGCGGCGCGGGGGCGGGCGGGGCGCGTTGGGGCAACGAGCGTTCGGGCAACGAGACCCCCCCCCGCCGCCGCCTGAGCTGCTGGCACCCCACGGTGCTGCCCGAGGGGCCGGGGTGGCGTGCGGCGGGGAGTGAGCACCGTATGGGGACCGGAGTGCGGGGAGGTTTTTATCATTTATAGTCAGACATCGAACAGTTTTCAGATTTGGGGAGGTGAAATGAAGAGAACACACACAGAGGGGAAAAGGAGGGCCAGGCACAGGCCTCAGTGATGGCACCCTCCCTGTAGAAGCTTCTGTCCTCAGATAAACACAAACTTGGCATTGTACAGAGGGGCTACCTGCAAGGAAAAGGGAGGAATTCTATCTCCCTGGACTATTTGATAGTCAATTTCTTTCCTGAAATTAGCTCTGAGAAAGAAGGACATGAAAGTCGCTGACTCATCAGAGGTCTCCCACTAAACAGACAGAGCTGCAGCAGGATTGGGGCTTACTCCAAATTTTTATCTCCAGATCTGCAGATACCCTTCCATCATTCCCCATCTGCCTCCTGTCCCTTCCCCCTGTCCACACAAGTTAAGGTGATAGATAACACTAAGAGAAGATGGACATACGGGACTCCACTAGCCATGAGAGCCATCATTGCTCATGCTGGGCTCTTAGGTTTATTTGCTGCATTTTTTGCTATGTCTAAAGCTATACAGGATTCCAGCTTGCCAGGTATTGTTGTTGTACTGTGTTACCTCTTAAGGAATCTCGTTTTTCTTTTTAGTACAGCACAAAAGTGGTGAAATTATCTAGTAGCCTCTTCTCAAATGTTTTTTGCTGCTGTTTTTTGGTTTTAACTCCCCACTTTTTTTTGGTAGCAGGGAGTGCTCAGGAACTCATCTCTGTGAT